ATTAAATTGAAATATTCATCTTATAAATATATAATGCTCATAAAATATACTTTATCAAAATTATATAAATTAACATTAATATCACATTATTTGTTATCATAATATTATAATAAAAATAATTATACATCTTTATAAATCATGTAAAATGTAAATATTTATCTATAATATATCAAACATACTAGTATATATTTAACATTTTATAATATTGAAATGTTATTTGACCACCACACACAAAAACAAAAGAACGTCAACAAGTATACAATTTAACCCCTTCTGATAATTTATATTAGATAAATGTAATTAAAAGTTGATTTCACGAATAAATAATTTGTTGTCGGACTCCGGTTAGAATTTCATACCAACCAGCAACAGACCTGATTCTCGTGTATATAGCTGGGGGTATTAATAATAATATTATATACAAATATATACACCTAGCATTCTATATACAGTTACGAGCGTCATCATCTCTGTCACCGTTTGTTTTTTGTTTGGAATGGCGCTCTCCTATTGGTTGGCTACGATCACGTGGCTACGATGGCACCGCTACTACGCGAGACACTTTGTTTTTTACTTTGCCACCCCCCCACTCGCTTTTTGGTTTTTGTAACTATTGTGTTGGAGCGGGTCGCTCCTTAAATAAATGCATATATTAGTTAATAACTAAATGGAATCCTCTCTTTCTTTTTCCCAGTAAGAGACGCCTACAGAAGCCAACAGTACATAGACAGATAAAGCACATAGGCTATAGTTATTAACTAATATATGCATTTATTTAAGGCGCCAATTTATAATTGTAACAAATAGTATTTGAATCAAAACATTCAATCGGGTAAAACACGGGCGTTGCCCGGGTCATTCGGCTAGTTTTACTATAAGCTTCAAGGCTTCGAGCCCCTACTTTAAACCCAGTTCTAACACATGCTCTCTCTCACCGTGCAACACAACGGAATCTCTCCCAGGCAAACCTCGGGCTGTAACATTGTTTCTCTCTTTTAAGATTTCAATCATAATTCTCTGAAGGTCCTTCGAACGGGGCTAATTTGTTTGAATGGATGCCGTTTGGTTTAGAGTTTACAGAACGTTGTATTCTGAAGACAACATCGTTAGCCTTTTCCCAATTCAAAATGGATAATCTCAAAGGATCATCCTTGTGTGAGAGCTCCTTTTTGTCCTCTGCGACTTGTATCCGGTTACATTTTGTTCGACGATCGGAAGCGGGTGTATCCCGGAAAAACTGTCAGACTTCTTTAACGTCAGATTTGAATATCATCTTCAGAATTATATTGGCGTACACATATTTAAGGAATATGCGATGGAAATGTTTCTAACACAACACATTGAGCACGATATCTAGAAAGTGGATTCACACTCGTGCAGTACGTTGACACAAATGTGTCTGTGGTCTACTCATGAATCACTGAATAATGCAAAATAAACGGTCAGGAGATTAAATTAACCAAACCAATAAAAATGTCAATACTGATAAACCAGGCACTCTCATAAACTTCCCATGTCGACATACCTCTTAATGTAGAGGCAGACAAATTAGCAAAAAAGTGTGTCACTTACCATGCAATAGCCTTACCTTTGAAGAAATATATATGTATAAAAGAAAAGAAAATAAATCAAAACTGACAGCTTATCCAAATCATCACTGGTAAAAACCATTTAAACAATTAGAAGAACTTCAAAAACTTAATAGAAATCAACAAACAGCTTTAGCAAGACTAAGAAGTGGCCATATAAAAACCTTAAAATTACAAATTAGACAAAAAACCTTCAATAACTGCTTCAAATTCAATAGTTCGGAAGCTTCTCCAGAGCATATCTTATCATGCTCAGAACTGACAATAGAGGACCTATATTCCAGACCTATAACTACCATCGCAAATTTGGAGACGAGTGGACTTCAGGAATTGGTTTAACCATGAAGATAAGCACCACCACCACTCTCATAAAAAATAATTTTCAAAACAGTAATTGTGCAAGAATATAAAAATAACTTCCGATATATCTATATCTGAAAGAAATGCATTTTTTTGTGTCAGGTTTTTCTGACGGATTTCAACGATTGAGTTATTTTCCGATATGGCTCGATCTATAGATATGCTACATAGTGCTTTCCCACTTATTTACAATCTCAATGAAATCGCATTTCATTTCTCTCTCAAATATTCATTTCGGGTTATATTTATATTCTTTATCGCATGTACGGCGATGATGATTATTCTTTTGTTTTACCTGAATTATTCTCTTTTTTACATTTACAATATAGTTCAGATCGGGTGTGATTTTAAAATACATCTTTATATAATGCAATTAATTATTTATATTAATTTTCACTGTTTAAAGAAAAAAAATATTTAGCTTAACTGACCCAATATGTCCAATATGTAATAAAAAAATCGACTCGGAACTGGAGCACCTCACGTTCTTCTGTTTAAAGTTAAGAAGTGAAAGGGAACTTCTTTTACAAATAATTGTATCAAATAATATTACTCTAGAGGCTCTGTTGTCTAGGACGACAAAGGATAAATCCAATGCATTGACACTGTACAAGTTTTACAGGGCTGAGCAAGAGAAGAAACATTGATAAAAGAGAGCCGTATCTAAATAGATATATAAATGAACGATCACCTGTAAATAACTAAGTTTTTCTGGGCGGTTATCTCCTGGGTGAATCCTGTGTAGGACATAGGTCCCCAATAAAAGGTTTTTTGTTGTTGATATTTATATTGATTTTCATAAAGATGTGCGCGACAGATCCTCTGATAAAATATTATAAAAGGTAAGTATCGATTTGTTTTGTTCTATGAATTCTTGATTCTGAAAATCAAAACTGACCTCAATGTGTCAAAATATTTAGCGTTTAGGAGTTAAAAGCGTGACATTTTAAAATTCAATACTATGGTTTCTGTAAAAATTAATGCTCTGATGCATTTTTAGTATTCCATGTACTTAGTTATTTCGTTCTCACGCCTTTTCTGCACCACAAGTAACACACTAGGAAGGATAAAATATCATTATTATGGTCTTTATGCAATAATTTAATTTCATCTTTTCCTACTCTTTTTATATTCGTCTGACTACTAACTGTGACATCAGGACAACATCAAAGAAGACATCATAACCAAGATCAGCCCCTATGTCCACAACGAGTCCTTCACTCCGCAGGCCATCTCAAAGGTACAATACCTACCTCACGCTATCCCTACCTCACTCTGTGGCTGTAGGTCTCCAAAGCCTGCACTTCTATCTGTGAGTGGGTGCGGGCCATGCACACCTATCACTACGTGGCAAAGACCGTGGCCCCTAAGCGAGTGAGTTGGCTTATCTTCCTTGTCAGGATACGTATTCCGCATTTTGTCATTCACACTATTTTTATTATTGACTCACCTTAAAATAAGCTTTTAGCGACAGCTTAAAGAGATCTGAATTTAATATTCACATAAAGCATATATAGTTAAGAACGCATTTATTTTAGAACGATTTACGATGTGCATAATTATATTAAAATAAATCCTATTTTTACTAATATTGTCACGTAATAGAATGCGATGGCCTACCCAGTCACAGAAGTCAGCCATACAATCACATTGCAGCTCGCCAAGATCGTTGTTGTTTTCATGGAGTACTAGTATTTCAGTAAGAATCCCAGGGGTTGAATTTTCACACTGTGTATCACCTGGAGGGCACTCTCCTTCCGTCAGCTTGATTTGGTTCAAAACACTCGTGCCACAACCGATGTCGGAGGCGATCAGCTCGCCCTCCTCCGCTACACAACCGGTCTGGATCATTTCCTTCTCCATGCCACCATTTCCAGTGAAATATCTCACTCCACCTACATCCTTCATTTGTAGGTCGTTTTCCATCTTGCAAAGTTCAGCCGTTTGAACATTCTTTGTAGCGCATGTGAAAGACTCAACAGTGTCTACCAGTGGAGGCACTCTGGAATAATTTTCCTTATCGTCCTCCTTGGTTGTTGTGATCGGGCACTGATTCTCTTTCTGACATTTCCTGCTGTTGACACTCTGTGGACTTCTAGATCACGAGAGAATCTTTTTGCGTAGATTCTGATAGTCCACTTACGACGTCTCCCGACGTGATGGTCTTTCAGGTATCTACATCACCTAGATTCGTCTTGTGTACGTTCACCTTAACTTCGAAAGACTTAGGCATGGCCGGAAGAAAGACATTACCATCATCCTCGAGTCGACTCAATCAAGATTCCCCAATGGAGCTCTGAATTCGTATATTTTCTAGTCCGTCAGACTGAAGAAATTTCTGATCAATGTATACTTTATTACGAGAGTTTTAGGGGGATCAATAACTATATACAGTAGATGTCTTCATTGTCCGCCACAAGAAGGATCCTCCTCGTTCTCCTTGGCACCGTCTTCCCGGTTAATCCACACGGCCCTATGACCACTTCCCGCGTCTTCTCTGTCCGCAGATGTGACCAAAAGTATCTGTTCTCTTCCACATTTTAATGCTATCTGGGCGCACGAACCCGCCTTCCAGTCTACAGCTATAGCGGCTTCTTTCCACACAACTGCCAGCTGGATTGTCCGTACGTCCCTATCCCCTGAATCTGTCAATCAGCGCTTCCTTGGGAGGGGGGGGCTGCATACTTTCTTCCATACTGGCTTGTCCACATTAACTCTCTTCTTTAACGCCTCACTACCGTTCTTCCATCATGTTGTTTGCTGCACTGTTTCAATATGTAAATTGTTTTACAATATCCTTTTGTGTGTCAATATCACCCATATTTTACTAACAGGTATGAATGATGCTGCGAAAACTTCACAAAAAAAGTAGATATTTATGACATTTAAAGGTTTTGTTAATCTTGCCTCAATTAGAGCAATATATAATGGTAATAATAATATTAATATATACAGTTATCAGCGTCATAATCAAGCAACAATTCTTAATCAATTCTGTCACCGTTTGCTTTGTGAATGGAATAAATACCCAAATATGGCCATTTCTCATAACCATCGGTGGTTCAGTGGTAGAATGCTCGCCTGCCACGCTATCCACCCGGGATCGATTCCCGGCCGATGCATTTTTTTTTTTTTTACAATTTTTAAAACTCATTTATATATTATACAAGAATGACATCCACGGCGCCAATTTATAATTGTAACGAATAGTATTTGAATAAAAGCATTTAATCGGATAAAACCCGGGCTTTGCCCGGGTCATTCGGCTAGTATATTAATAACAATAACAATTCAATAAAATAACTAATTTGGTACATCATATTTTTGTCTATATCCCTTGGTAGCGATTACGATATAAGGAAAAATCAAAATAAAATACTATATAAATATACAGTCTACTCTCGTTATAACGCCACCATCCGGATTTTGCAAAAAAACGGCGTAAGGCGAGGGTGGCGTTGTATCGAACACGTTTAAAATGTGAAATTTAAAGATCCAATAAATTATTTATAAAAATTACTAATACCAATTTATACTTTAAGTCAATATATAGAATGCCGGCATTAATTAATTAATATGATAAATAAAAAGCATTAATTTATAATTTATTCATAAAAAGTAAGAAGAAGTCTGTGATCACAACTTGTGTTTTCTCTCCCTCACTTATGGCATAGACACGGCGTAACAAATCCGCAGGTAGATTGACGTCGTCAGATGTTGCTCTCTTGGAGTGCTCAAGAAACAACAAAACTGTCTCAGCAGCTGCTCTGGCTTCCCTTAACGATGGTAGGCGCTGGGTCACTGTTGTATCATCATCCTCGCCAAGTTCTTCTTTCGCTGTAACAGTGGACACTAGCAAATTATCATCTGTTAGCTTCATTTCCGCCTCCTGGGAATCATCAACCAGTTTAAACTCCCTTTCAGTCATCAAATTCTCTGGTGTAATAGCGAAGATGTCGCGAATGCGATCAATCAGATTTCCATAATTAAGAGGCTTAACTGCAGCAGTAGAAGTGAAGCGAATGCCTGTGTGATTCCAGCAGTTGCTGATGGAATCAGGGCTCACAGAATCCCAAGCCATTTTACAATAGCGCACAGCGTAATCCAGACGTAATTTTGTGGGTAGATGGGCATCCGCCAATTCCACCATTTTATGGAGTTGAAGCTTGCGATATTGAGCCTTTAAACTTTTGATGATGCCACTATCCAGTGGTTGCAGACTGGCAGTCATATTTGGTGGAAGGAAGTGTATCTTCATGTTGCTGAGACCATCGTTAGGGACGCAGTGAGACGTTATCTAACAACAGTAGGATACGACGTCCTGCAGAGACAAGCTGCTTGTTGAACTGCAGTAGCCATTCTTGAAAGATGCTAGAGGTCATCCATGCTTTGCTGTTAGATGTGTAAGTGCAGTAGAAGTGTGGGCAAAAAGTTTCTGAAGCATCGAGGCTTTGCCGATTTTCCAATAATCAGCAATCGCCGCTTGTCTGTTCCAGTAGAGTTGCAGCACAGTAGAACAGTGATTCGTTGCTTCATCCTTTTGACACCACGGCAGTTTTCATCTTTGTGAGCAAGTGTTCGGTCAGGAATTTGCTGAATAAATAATCCTGTTTCGTCTGCATTGTATATGTTGGCTGGGTCATATATAAGGTGTTCATCAATGATAGCTGGAGAAATCGATGCGCCTTCCCCACAGAAATTTAAATCGCTGCATCCACCCACTGCTGTACGCGAAATTTTCTGGTACGTCCAACTGCTCACCAAGTTATTTTGCCTTTTCTCTTAGGAGGTCATCAGTAATAATAATATTATTGGCACGCTTTTGGGTAAACCAGTTGAAGAGAGCGTCTTCCAAGTCACTAAATTTTCCGACTCTTTGTCTCTTTGAAGAACCAACAGTATAATTTTTCCACTTCTCAGCCTGAGTGAGAATATCACGGACAGTTGTTCGTGGAAGTGAGAAACGCTCTCCAATCTCATTCTTCGACATCGTAGTGTTATTTCTTGCCAACTGGCAGTTTTCATCTTTGTGAGCAAGTGTTCGGTCAGGAATTTGCTGAATAAATAATCCTGTTTCGTCTGCATTGTATATGTTGGCTGGGTCATATATAAGGTGTTCATCAATGATAGCTGGAGAAATCGATGCGCCTTCCCCACAGAAATTTAAATCGCTGCATCCACCCACTGCTGTACGCGAAATTTTCTGGTACGTCCAACTGCTCACCAAGTTATTTTGCCTTTTCTCTTAGGAGGTCATCAGTAATAATAATATTATTGGCACGCTTTTGTGTAAACCAGTTGAAGAGAACGTCTTCCAAGTCACTAAATTTTCCGACTCTTTGTCTCTTTGAAGAACCAACAGTATAATTTTTCCACTTCTCAGCCTGAGTGAGAATATCACGGACAGTTGTTCGTGGAAGTGAGAAACGCTCTCCAATCTCATTCTTCGACATCGTAGTGTTATTTCTTGCCAACTGGCATATTCTTCTTCTTTTTAATGGTGATCGACTCACGTTTACGCTTTTGGAAACTCATGATACGACAATAAGGTTGTTGTGTTGACGTTAGCAAAGGATGAAGCGACTGTGTATGTCCCAGGCACAAGCAGGAAAAGGGTCTGCTGGCTGTTCACACAATCTGTTATCTGTTGTGTCAACAGCAAACAAAGTCCGGTGCCGCTGGCGGAAAATATGCAGACAGGAAAAGGGGAGCGGGGGGTGAGGGACGTTGTGAGCGGTGCTATAACGAGTGGTTTTTGCTACTTGGGATACGAAAAATCAGCGGCGGAAGGCGAACAGCGAGGGAGTGGCGTTTTATCGAGAAAAATACATTGATGTCGATTGGGACAAAACGAAAAAGCGGCGTAAGGCTAGGGTGGCGTTATATCGAGTGGCGTTATAACGAGAGTAGACTGTATATACTATAAATATTTATAAATTCAATTGCCATCTATCGATAAAATTTGTAACAAATAAATTTACTGACAATGTCTTTCTCTCATTAAAAAACTTTTATCATTGCAGTAAGGTCTGTAGAGATAATATTTGATGATATTTTAAAAATAAACTTATTGCCAGTATATTTATTTGTTTTAAAAAAATGAAGGTATATGAACCCAAATGAAGCGAAATTCAACTGAAATAGAATCCAAGTAAAATACGCACAAAATTCTGGAACTAATTTAATTTGGAATGTGTTTCTTTTCAAACGATTCCTTTTTAAATCGAATTTTCGAATTATGATTCCGATTAAATAGTTTGATCTGAATAAAATATGATTTATTTAAAAATAACTTTTTGTTCTATATACATACGGGTAAAAATCCAATTCGTCTAAATTTTATATTATAGGCGAATCTCACTAGTGTTATATAGGGTTATTGTTATATGATACATTATTAGTACAGTATATTTCATAATTTTACATGAATTTATCATACAATGATCCTTATATATGTGGGGATTTTTGCGAAGCAGTGAGAGTGACAAGGACGCACAAAGGTGACAGGATTCAGGAGCAAAAACCAGTGAGGAGTAGATCGCAGAGGAAAGAGAGGTCCGAGGATAACCCTGGCGTGAGGACGACCACAGAGAGAACTGCCCCCTGACACACGTGACACTCCTCCTTCTCCAAGGAATCTATCTTGCGCACCCCAGATCGCCTCAGGAGGGCTCTCCTTTGATGGATAGGCAAGGGCTGGAGGAAAATGCAGTCTTCAGAGTTGAGGGCCGCTTCCATTTCTGATTCAGAAATGTCACTTAGCTCCTCACTATCGTCTGTCTCTGAAAATTTTGTACTGTTAGCAGCGGCTGCCAGCCTCTTCCTGTTCTTGAGAACTTCAATATGGCCCCTCCTCTTTTCTTCTCCTGGATGGAGAAAGATTCCATCTCGCAATGCTGGGTATCCATGCCTAGAGAGGAACCCCCCCTGGCTGGGAACACAGGGCTCTTTAACTATTCTCAGGGGTCTAAAATAGTGACTACTGAGGGGGTGAGAACGGAAATTGACCTCCGAAATGTCCATTATTAGAAGTCAAAACATGTGGTCGACTAGGGCTGCTAATACTAGATAACTTTTTCTCCCTTTCCTTATACTCTCTTAATCTTATAAAAATATTTAAATAAAGAGAGATAACCTGTGTTGTTGTTTCTACACAAGTGATATTATGGCATGTATATACTCCTTCATAACAAAATAATTTTAAACAAATTTCATACTATGGTATTGGAGTTGTGTGAAGGCGGCGTTGGAGGAAGCCAAGAACAAACTGAAACAGTCCGAGGCCATCCTGACAGAGGCCCGCGGCAAGCTGGCCCGGGTGGAGGCCGGCATTGCTGATCTTCAGAACGACCTCGAGAGGGTGATCGAGAGGAAGAAGGAGCTGGAGGCCAAGCGGAAGGAGTGCGAAGAACGCTTGGTGCGGGCTGACCGGGTAGGTAACCTGAGGATTTCTCCATATATCGTGCTTACGCTCGGCCTATGGCGCAGCTGATCATCGGGCTGGCGGACGAGAAGATCCGCTGGGCCCATTCTGTGGCCGACATCGACGATTACATCAGCCAGGTGGTGGGCGACATCGTCCTGGCCTCAGGCTGCATTGCCTACCTCGGACCCTTCTCGGTGCGTACGGTGTGCGCCGGTAACGGAATCTGACATTTGCTTAAACGCTGATAGTGTGGTATATATTTTTTTAGTTTCTATCTGTAGATGTAGTTCCTTAACAAGACGATCAAAACAGGTTTACCCGCAATGAACCCACTTAGAATGGGATCCAAAAAGGCTGTTTACAAAATTTTATATTGTAGCGCAGTATTCCAAAATAAATAAAATTGATTTATTGGCAGCCTCAGCACGAAAAGGCGATTAAAAATAAAGTACACTGGGTATTTACATTGAAAATAATAAGGATATTGATACAACATTTTAACTATTTTATTCAAAGATTCTAATTAATAAACATATAAATATTGAACTATTTTTTCCCATACTTTCTCCTTTAAAGAGCACCGAATTAATTCACAGCAGGAGACTCAAGTTCTCAGCTTCAGGTCCAGAAAAGCCCGGGTCCCTTGTTCTAGGGAGTTCCTTCTGGGTACGGGCTGGATGTCTTCTTTCGTCTGGA